GTAGCTACAATTATCATCCTGAAAACGTTACTATCTTTGCTTCTAATTATAGCTCCTAAAAGGAACCCCCTTTGATAGGTCGGTAGTCTGTAAAGCAAAATGTTGGACAAAATCTGCCATTACTTAGTTGTTACTTCGGTATAGCAGCTATTATTAAAATATAGGAAACATATTCACAATCAAAATAAACAAAATAAAAATGAATATGTACATATTTAACACCCAAAAAAAAAAATACAAAATTATTAAAATTTTAGCAACATATTCACAATCAAAATGAAAAACACGACAAGAATAGCAAGTAAATAATTGTATATCATTGCATTCTAATGGGTATACATTCTTTAAACAAAAAGAACTAAGCTTGTTCCAGTTATTTGAATGTCATAATGTGCAGAGCAATTTTCTAGGAATTTACAATCACAGATACACCATGACAAGGAGTTTCACTCTAGAATTTATTATAGAATTATAAGTTGCATTCACATCTACTTATCACTGCATTGCCCACCCATTTTTTTGTAAAATAATCTCTATAATATTGTAGTCTATACACCAAAACTAATGAGTTGCCAAATTCAGTTGCAAGAAAATAAATATAATGCTTCAAAAGAAAACAAATTATCAAATTGTGACTTTCACACCAAAACAAATTATAAGATTATATATAAACAAATCCAGATGACAGTGTGACTCAAATTTGTTGAAAAGAATGTGAGATTAATTAAATTTACAACAACAAATGCCCTGTAAATTCACACAGCCTGACAATAAACTCTTAAAATTTATCAAGTAACAGAAACAGAACTAATCGTGGCCAACGTTCAGGGAAATAGAATTTTTTTTTTTTAAATTCAATTTGAACATCACACTTAAATATATGAGGTATAAAACAGATCCAACAATCACAACATACCAGAATGTTAGCACCAATACTAGTTCCAACAGCAAATAGAGGAGCCTTGGCATATTCATGATGAAGATAATGAATAACTTCACTTTTGTGAATCCAACAAGTTAAAGTTGAGTTTTTGCCCTTTAAAATAATCCCACAAGATGTATAAATAGGTCCCTTACTAATCCTAGTTTAATCCTTAAAGTGAACCTTCAATTCAAATTCAACAAAAAATAAGACAAACAATCCCAACCAGTTTCATTGCAATTTTTGATTCACAAATTGAATGTTGCATATTTATATTCTCAACTTCATCCTTAAGTCATTGAACAGGGTACTCTGAAAAATGGAAATATAATTGCAGTGAAGAAACTAGCAATATAATTCAGCAATATTCTACTAGATGATGATTTCCAACCCAAAATAGCTGATTTTGGATTGGCAAGGCTTCCACCTGAGGAACAAAGTCATCTTAGCACCAGATTTGCCGGGACCTTGTAAGCATGAAACCAACCATTTCTCAGCTTATTAATCCCTATGTTCAATGTTGAGTTTCAAATCTTTTAATGGTTTGCATATCTGATATTCCATATCTTTGAAAAGATACCTAAAAGAACAATGTTGAGGCTATTTTGTGAGTGACATACATCCGTAATTTTTGTGAGTGACATAATGGATTGTATTAGAGGCTATTTTGATTCCTAATTGAAATTAAACCAGTGATATGTTTTCATGTAACAAATCTAGTACTTCTAGTAAAATATTTGAAACCATTGAATGATAACTAACTACTTTCTCATGCAACAGGGGTTATACAGCACCAGAATATGCCATCCATGGACAGTTGTCTGAGAAGGTTGATATGTATAGCTTCGGTGTCGTTGTCCTTGAAATCATAAGTGGCCAAAAGTGTAATGAAATGAAGGTTGAATCTGCTGAATTGTTCAACAAAAATAGAACTTTTCATCTTAAAACACAAACAACTTAAAAGTACAGAACTTGTTCATCTTAAAAAAAATCCTATGCATCACAAAAATTCAGCAGATTACTATGCATCACAAACCAATTTTCAAACAGAGCATTAGTATCAATATATTGCTCCAACAGATTACTATCAAGCAGATTAAAATTGCCAGCAAAAAATTGCTCAACCATCTACATCAATCTTGCCAGAAGAAAATTGCTCCAACAGATTACTATCGAGTACATTAGTATCAATAAAAACAATTAACAAAAATCCACAAAAGTACACAATTGAAATTGCTCCAGCAGATCATTCTTATGTATCACAAATCAATTGTGAAACAGTTGGTGAGCAAACTAGAGATGCTTTGGGGTCCATATATACTTAAACAATTCATTCTACATGTCATAGACCAAATGTCGAACAGTTGGTGAGCAAAATAAATATAGATGTGAACAAAAAACAACTTGAAGAAATCTGGCCTGGCAAGATTGAACAATCCAATTCAAAATCAACATAAACAACAAATTTGAGCAGATTTTTTTGAAAACAATTAAAAATATGTTTTTCTATTTAAAAATGTTGCCAAATAAAAATAAAAACAAACACAAACTTTGCCATCAAAATCTTGCAAGGAACAAAGAAAATTACCTGCAATTTATGTTGAATTTTTGTTTGGAGAACAAACTGATGAGGAGAATAAAGAGAGAGAGAGAGAGAGAGAGAGAGAGCCATTGTATTGAAGAAGAAAAAATAGTTTTTTAATATCTAGACAGACTTCAACCCTCGCTAGATGCAACGAGGCTTCCGTACTGCTGCTATTCTGTATAACTGGGGCAATGCTCCAATGGTGGATTGACGGTGGTGCTCGTGTGCGATGGCGGTGATGCTCCCGTACCCGACGACGAATGGAGACAAAGGCGAGTGAGAGAGCTGGAGAGGGCAGAGGCGTGAGAGAGTGAGAATGAGAAAGAGAGAGTCACAGAGTGAGAGACAGATCTGTATTTTTAAAACCTTATTTTCTTTGCCAACCAAGTTTTGTAGTCGCCAATAATAAATAAAGACGTTTTTTCCTCTGAAATCTGAAGTCTAATTTTTAAATTTTAATTATAATCGCTGACTAAAATTTAGTTGGTAAAAGTAAATTATATCGACTAAATTAATTTTAGTAGCCAAAGATCATACATTTAGGGACCAAGATTTTTTTAGTCGCCTTTAGGGTAATTTTTTAGCGACTAAGTCATTTTTAGTCGCCTATTGAGTAACTTTTGGCTACTAATTGTATTTTAGTAGCCTATTGGGCTTTTTTAGCGACTAACTTTTTAGTCGCTGATTGGGTCATTGTTTAGCTACTAAGTCATTTTTAGTCACCTATTGAGTAACTTTTAGCTACTAATTGTATTTTATCGCCTATTGGCTATTTTTAGCGACTAACTATTTTTTAGTCGTTGATTGGGTCATTTTTTAGCTACTAATTATGTTTTAGTCGCCAATAAGTGATATACGGCTACTAAAAAATTTTTAGTAGCTAAAATATGGAACATTGCCGACCAATTCAAATTTTAGTCGCCAAAGGTGATTTTTAGTTTATAGCTAAATTTGGTCGCCAAAAATGTAATTTCTTGTAGTGCCAAAGTACTGCCACTGGACGGCAAAGTACTGCCACTGGGATGGCATTTTGTGTAGTTGTTTGCATCCTGATAGAGTTATTGGGCTCACTCTAGATTCCCAAGGCCTGGTTGGATCGCTCTCACCTCATATAGGAAACCTTTCCTTCCTCAAAAGTATCGTTCTTCAAAAACAATAGCTTCCACGGCCCAATCCCACAAGAGATGGGTCGCTTGTTTCGGCTACAAAAATTAGAATTCAGCAACAATTCGTTTGGCGGTGGAATACCCAACAACCTTTCTCGCTGCTCAAAACTTGAATGGCTGAACTTGGTCGACAACAACCTAGCCGGAATCATCCCAGCCGAGTTGGGCTCTTTGTCATGGCTTGGAACTTTAGCCTTGAGTAAAAACAAGCTTTCAGGAACCATCCCTCCTTTCATTGGAAACCTCTTATCTCTTTCCATTCTCTCTTTATCAGAATGTAATTTGCATGGGAAGATTCCGGCGGAACTTACTAGGCTTCAAGGCCTGATACGTGTCTGGTTAAGGGGGAATAACCTATCTGGCAAGGTTCCATCTGGCCTTTACAATATCTCCACCATCATTTGGTTATCACTAAACTTTAACCAATTTGAAGGAAATATTCCTCCTGATATAGGCTCCACACTTCCCAATCTCAAGTCTCTTAGTCTGCATGACAATTTGTTTACTGGAACAATTCCTACTTCACTGTCAAATGCTTCGGAGCTCGAATTGATACTCTTCTCTACAAATGATTTCAGCGGGACAATGCCGAGAGACCTTGGAAAACTTCGGGGTCTTCAATGGATAAGTGTTTTTCAAAATCGGTTGCAGGATGACCTCACTTTTATTTCATCTCTAACAAATTGCACCAGTTTACAATTTATTGGTGCGGGTTACAATCTTTTTAGAGGTTCATTGCCTGACTCCATAGCTAATCTCTCCATATATCTTAGCTGGATAGATTTGAGGTTTAATCAAATACATGGAAGCATTCCTTCAGGCATCGGGAACCTCCTCAACCTCACTGTCTTATCTATGGCAGCGAACAATCTTGTTGGCCCTATTCCATCCTCCATCGGCAGACTTCATAAGCTGCAAGTTCTGATGTTAGACTAGAACAAATTCACAGAACTTCCATCTTCGATTGGTAATTTGACTTCGTTGATTACTCTTAACTTGGGAGAAAACAACATCCATGGAAGCATACCTCCCACTTTGGGCAACTGTCATAGCTTGTTGGAATTAGACCTTTATAAAAATAATTTCAATGGTTCAATACCCCCTGAAATTATGAGTCTCTCCTCCATTTCAAACGTTAGATCACAATGCACTAACCGGTTTTCTTCCATCAGAAATCGAGTCTTTGAAAAACCTTGCAAACATGGATGTGTCCTATAATAAATTATCATGACCCATACCAAACACTCTAAGAAATTGTTTGAGTCTGGAATGGCTTCACTTGGAGGCTAATTCATTTGTGGGAGAGATACCTCAAGGTTTAAGATTGATGAGGGGTTTAAGAGTGTTGGATCTTTCACACAACAATTTGTCGGGCGTGATCCCAAGTTATCTAGGTGAGCTTCAACTAGATATGTTGAATTTGTCTTTTAATATGCTACATGGACAAGTTCCAATACAAGGAGTGTTTCAAAATGGGAGTACAGTTTCAATTGTTGGAAATAATGAGCTATGTGGAGGTATTGCAGAATTAGACCTTCCTCCTTGTCCATCCTCCAAATCAAGCAAGAATAAGCTATCTCACAGGATGAAAGTTATCCTAGTGGTGGTTGGTCTTGTGATATTTTTATCTTTGTTTGTTAGTTTCTTTATATTTCTTCGATGGCATCATGTTTCAAAAAAGAAGACCTCTAGCATGCCATCAATCAAACAACAATTTTTGAGGGAGTCTTATGCAGAGCTTCTCAAAGCCACCAATGGATTCTCAGAGGCTAATCTAATTGGTGTTGGGAGCTATGCTTCAGTTTACAAAGGGATTCTTGATCACGTTCAGATGGTTGTTGCAGTGAAAGCGCTCAATCTTCAGACTAGAGGAGCTTCTAAGAGCTTCATGTCAGAATGCAAGGCACTAAGAGCCATAAGACATCAAAATCTATTGAAAATTTTGTGTGTTTGTTCCAGTGTGAATTTCCATGGTAATGAATTCAAAGCTCTGGTATATGAATTTATGGCCAATGGAAACTTGGGCAATTGGTTGCATCAAGTCAGTGTTGGAGACAATGAGCAACTAGAAGATCCTAGAAATCTTAAACTAATCCAGAAGATGGGCATTTCCATTGATATTGATTCTGCACTTGAGTATCTTCATTGTGGTTGTGAGTCAACAATTATTCATGGTGATCTAAAACCAAGCAATGTTCTTTTGGGTGATGAGATGATAGTCCATATTGGAGATTTCGGGTTAGCGAAAATTATTTCTACCGTTTCAAGTGATGTGGCACAAGGTCAAAGCAATTCAATTGCGATAAGGGGAACCATCGGTTATGTTGCTCCAGGTACAAAATCTTTTCTATTTCCTCGGGAGTAGAAAAATTGAGCTTGCAATAGGAAAAGTAATATATATATACACACACATACTTATATATACACCTTGCATGGTAGAATAATTTCAGCATAAACAACCATACAAAAAACCATGGCTTCCTACAAAATAGTGGGCACCTGCAAGGATTTTTTTTATACATTTTCTGTCATTTTTGAATGCTCCCAATGTGTGCTTCCACCTCCTCACTGTTAGCAAACTAGAGTTAATCCTCTATACCTCCTCCTCTGTATTTCTTCTTCTTCTTCTTCTTCTTCTTCTTTTTTTTATTTTATTTTTATTTATTTTTAAATTTTTTTCAGAACAAAAAAAGGAAAAAGAAAAAGAAAATCTTCTTTATTTAATTCTAGCATGAAAGTTATCTACTAGTGGAAAGAATTATTATAGCACTTTGCAACCAAAGTATTTTCCAAAATCTTACTAAATTCTTGGAAGCTGTTATAGTTGATTGTGACATACCTTTCCAATGCAAGACTAATATCTGTTTGCTTTCAATGAAAAATATAATTAAACTATGTCATTCTTAACAATGATCTCACTCAGTCACACGCACGCACCAACCAGAAAACTTGAAATTAAGGCCATTATACAACATTAAAATTGCCTTAAGAAAATTATTAAATACATTTTTTATTGGGATTACAATTATGTCAACTAACCAGATTGACTTTCACACTAACATTAGAAACATTTTGCAGAGTATGGCATGGGTGACATGGCTTCCACACTAGGGGATGTATACAGTTTTGGAATTCTTTTATTGGGGATGTTTACAGGTAAGAAACCAACTGACGATATGTTTAAGGATCATCTGAATCTACATAACTTCGTTAAGAATGCTTTTCCTGAACGAGTGATGGAGATTGTGGATCCCTACATCCTATTGGAGCATAAAACAACAAGGTGGATTAAAGACTGCATGGTTTCCATTCTAAGAATTGGAGTTGCATGTTCAATGGAATCACCAAGAGATCGAGTGGAAATGGGGAGTGTTATTAGTGAATTGCATAACATCAAAAATACTTACTTGAATGAAGGGTTGAACCAAGAATGAAGGGTTGAACCAAGACTGGAAAGTGGGAAGAGATTTTGCAACATGAAAACCTTAAGGTGTGTATCATACCTGCTTGAGCTATGCATATGCATATCAAAATGGAAAATGCTATATAGAAATGGACTTTTATTACTAGACAAAAAACATAGATTCCATGTGTATTTATTAATGTAGACTCCATTAACTTTGTGTCTAGTGGTAACAAAATTTACTGAAAATTTTGTTTATATATACCATTACTGTACCAGATTACTTCGTTCCCTCAACTCCCTGTTTTTTTTTTTTTTTGACACAAACCCCAACAGGTCCTACTTTTGGGACTGATTACCCATTAAATTTTATTGATAAATTTATCAGTCTCTCTTGTTTTTATGAATAAATTTACAGTGATAAATTTATTAGTCAAGATTTGTAGATAAATAAGTTTAGTTAATAGGACTTATTGGTATGTGTTTTTTTCCTTTTTCTTTTCTTTTTTCCTAAGTGAACTAAAGCATGTTTTTTCTTTTGCTGCTCAAGGTTACTTCCAAGGTCCTCCAATAATGGTTTCCTCTACAAGATTACAAGTGGTGGCTTTAGTATCTTCATCAACAATTTTAATCTATATTTAATCTAATGCTTGAATAAAAAAGCTGTCACTTTTCTCCTTTGGTTAGATTGTATTATACAAAAATGTGTTCATGTGAAATGTCCCCAACTAAGATTGTATGACTAGAATTGTTGTCTGTATCCCTTTAAAATGATCAGTTTGTTGTATGTCTTTTTCTTGAAATTGCATGTCTTATATGGATCTTATTCTTTAGTCATTGTTAAATTGTTGTTCAAAATTGACATTTGGAGATCAACCTTCTTTGCTTTTTTAATAGGAATTTTTATTGATAAGTCCAATTTAGAAGTGTTTTAACCCAAGAAGTCCATGAAGGAATTTTTTAACCCATTTAGTCCCATGTATGTATAGTTTTATTCCATAAAGTCCATTTTCTTGATTTACACTATTTTCTTGGACACTTATGCCCTTATATTTAATTTTGATACCCTTATAAATATTTTTTGAACGATTAGCAATTTAATGATGTGAACATTCATATTTTAAAATTCACATTGGTAGGAATGTAAAATTGGCCCGTGGGCCCGGCGCGGCCGGCCCGGGCCGCGGGCGGGCTTTTGGCCGTCCATGGGCCGCGGGCCAATTTTTTACTCTTATCAATGTGAATGTTAACATGTCAATGTGAATATTCACATGTCAACGGGCCGGACCGGGTCTGCCCCGGCCGCCCATGGGCCGCGGAGTGGGTTTCGCACCGCCACGGGACGGGGGCCAATTTTACACTCCTATTAATGTGAATGTTAACATGTCAATGTGAATATTCAACATTGTCAACGGCCCGGGTTGGGCCGGGCCGAGTGGGGCCCGCCTTGGGCTGCTGTCTAGTTTTATACTCTTATCAATGTGAATGTTAACATGTCAATGTGAACATTCACATTGTCAACAGGGCGGGCCGTGGGCGGGTTTCAGGCTGCTACGAGGCGCGGGCTAATTTTACTCTCCTATCAATGTGAATGTTAATATGCCAATGTGAATATTCACATTGTCAACAGGCCGGGCTGGGCCCGCGCCCGGGCTGGCGGGCGGGCTTTTGGCTGCCCATGGGCCGCGGCTCAATTTTATACTTTTACACGTGAATGTTAACATGTCAATGTGAATATTCACATTATCAACGGGCCGGACCGGGCCCGCCCGGGCCGTGCGCGGGTTTTCGCGCCACCACAGGATGGGGGCCAATTTTACACTCCTATTAATGTGAATTTTAACATGTCAATGTGAATATTCACTTGTCAACGGGCGGGCCCGCCCTGGCTCGGCGGGCAGGTTTCGGCC